CAAGCCAATAGCCTTTAAAGTTTTCCCAATACATCATAATAAAAACATATTTCCATCAACTGAGAAAGAGTTCCTGCTCTCTGACACATACCTGATTAGGTCACTGCTCTAGGAGGTCTATTTGACCTAGTTATTTTTTATACTCATTAGAGAAGTAAATAAACCCATATGCCACTATTTTAAAATCCAAAATCTAAAGATGATATTTGTATATAAATCTGACACTTTTCATCACAATGGCAGAATCTAAATTGTATCAGGGAATGACTATCCAGCCCGATTTCTGAATGTGAACCTCGTGACTAGTGCAAGAATGAGGAAAGCATGTGGACCTGTGTAACTCCTTTACTGAACAGGAAACAAGGTGTGGCTTTGTTTGATGCTTGCACTACCACACAAAATCAGAAGAAGCAGTAAAGATTTTTCAGATGACTAATGATTTAACTAATGATTTAAACATGGATGAAGATTAGGAAAAATTATTAACTTTCATGTATTAAATTTATCAAAAAGATTATTCACTAACTGCTTATGAGGCACAGTGTTTGATAAATTCAGAAAAAAATTATGATAGGTAAATAGAAGAGTACATAATGGGATTCAACAGGCTGCATGCAAGACTGCAGAAATTCGTTCTGGAATTCGACAGTACTACAGCATTTAGACAGACTTTCAGTTTTGACAGGAGTTAGGTTTATCGAAAATGCAATGTTAGAACAAACATCAGAAAGGCTAAAAGAAATTCATTCTAAAACATTCTTTTCCAGCAATGTTCATAGCAAAAATGGGCAATTGGCCATACAACAGAAAATGGGGGACACAGTGTTAACTGGCTAGCAAGAACGTTTAGATAAAGGATACAGGTGACAGTAAAGAAGGAGTTTGACTAAGAGAAACAAGGATCAAAATTTTTTTAACAATTTCAAGAAGCAAAGTGAATTTGGGACTTACAATAAAAGAATGAATGCCAAAAATGCCCATGATGTGGTCAATCAACATTTCATGTGTGATTCAAAGTATCATTACACCATGAACTGTCTTAAGTAGAGTATTCAAAACTAAAGTGAAAGATTCAGAGGAAGTTGGAGATAGGAATTGAAGAGAGATTGATCACAAGACATTTCAGCCCATTGATGAATGTCTTGGTGGTAGAATCTTTCAATTGTACAGTGTTAGACAGCAGATGCACATCTTTAGTGTGAGGAATAGACGAGCTAAAATGCTAACTAGGCTCTCTAAGTAATTAGGATTGGAACAATGTTAAGAAATTTGAGGGCTCCACCAGTGTCAGATTTGTAAATGATGACATACTAAATCTTTAAAACAGGCAGACGTTTCTTATAAATTAACTCGAATCAATCATTTTATTAACATGGACGTAGTATCCAGTGAACATAAGAAATAAGAGCAGAAGTAGGCCAATTGGCTTCTCAGTGCTGCCTATCCATTCAACAATATCACAGCTGACCTGCCCAGGGCCTCAACTTTAATGAAGCTCATTACAGCCTCTGTTATTTCAAAAATTTGTCTCCCTCCTCTTTAAATACTTTCAGTGATCCAGGCTCTACAATTCTCTGAGGTAGAGGATTCCAGACATTCAATACCCTTTGGGAGAAGAAATTCCTTCCTATCACAGTTTTAAACAAGTGTCTCCTTCTTCTGTAACTATGCCTCTAGTTCAAGGTTCCCCCACTAGAAACGAAGAACCTTGTGGCAGAAATAGGCCATGCAGCCATTCGAATCTTCTCTGTCATTCAATATGACCATGGCTGATCCTCTTGCTGAAAACAATGTCACATTCCAGACTCCTTATCACCTTTAATATCTAAAAATTTATCAACCTCTTTCTTCAATATATTCAAGTGACCCAAACCTAACATCCTTTTGTGGTAGAGAATTCTAGGGGTTGACCACCCTCTGAGCGAAGAAATGTTTCCTCAACTTAGTCCAAAATGGCTTACTTCATATCCAGAGACTGTGACGCCCGGTTCTAGACTTCCCAATTAGAGTAACATCCTCCCTTCACCTAGTCTGTCCAACCTTGTTGGAATTCTGTACATTTCAAACCAGATCCCCTCTCATTCTTCTAAATGTTAGTAAATACAGACCAGGTGAACCAATTTTGCCTCATATGACAGTCCTGCGATCCACGGTATCAGCAGTGAACTTTTGCTCTTTCCTTCTATGCCAAGTATATTCACTGTGGTCTCACCAAGACTCTATACAAATACAGAAAGACATCCCTACTTCTGAACTCAAATCGTTTTGCAATGAAACAAACATTTCCTACCTAATTGCTTGTTGCACCTGCTTGTTTACTTCCATTGACTGGTGTACACGAACACCCAAATCCCTTTGTACATCCACATTTCCCAACATTTCATCATTTAAATAATTCTCTGCCTTTTCTGTTTTCCTAATTGAGATATATGGCTTCATGTTTATTCACATCATATTGCATCTGCCTTGGGTTTGCTCACACATTCAACTTGTCTTGATCATCCTCCAGCCTCCATGTATCCTTTCACAAATCAGAATTGCAACTAGTTTGAGCCTTCAGCAAACTTGGAAATATCGCATTTGGTTCCCTCGTCCATGCAATTCATATAAATCGTGAATAGCTAGGGCTCAAGCACTGATCCCTGCAGTACACCACAAGTCACCACCTGCCAAATGGAAAAAGCCACATTTATTCCCAATGTCGGTTTCCGGTCTTTCAACCGATTCTCAATCCATGCCAGTATATTACCCCAATCCCACGTGCTTTAATTTTGCCCACTAGCCTCTCAAGTGGGATCTTGAACCTGCCCTCCACCTCGGTTCTCCCTTATCTATTTTACTAGTTAAGTTCACAAAAACTCCAATAGGTTAGTTAAGCATGATTTCCCTTTCATAAACCTATGCAGGCTATGTCTAATCCTGTTAATGCTTTCCAAGTGTATTGTTAACACTTTCAAAATAGTATTTTCCCCATTACTGATGTTAGGTTAGTTAACCAGTCTGTAGTTCTCAGTTGTTGCCCTTTCTCCCTCTTCTTTAAATTATAGGGTTAGATTTGTCATCCTTCAGTATGTAGGAACTGCTCCAAAGTGTACGGTTTGTAATTTCAGAGATGGGCTTAAAGAATGGAGAGGCCCAGGAAAGATTATTGATAAAGGCTGTTAGAAAAATAATAATTGTACAGCTTGAGAACTAGACTGTTCAGGTGGACTCTTCACAATTGTTTGATATGGATTGCAAATTTTCAGATCCTAAAGAAGTTATAGAAGGCAATGAGTAACCATACATTACGCAGCTATAAGGTTCAGGGTGTTACAGTTTGTCAGTTGAAGGACAGGTCAGTCTGCTTTATTAAAATTGGGGTGTCTCCACGTGAAAGTACACCCTGCCATGTTTTACTGGCACAATGGGAGGGGCAGCTTTCAGGCATCTTTATGGTGCAGGTAGATGATTTTTTTTGTGGGGTGGATGCAGTGAATTTGAAAACAGTGCCATAAATGGGTTTAAAACAGAATTCAAAACTATAAGACAAGCTCCTCGGGCTTGTAAGTATGTTGACTTGTAAATCAAGCAGAATGGATTGAGTATCACTTTGTATTAGCAATCTTACTTCAAAAATGTTAGCCTTAATGTTGTCAGTCAAGTAGGGCCTCAGAAAAAGATGCAGTGGCTTCCGAACCTTCACAGTGAGAACTGTGAAGTCTAATTGGGCAGGTGAACTGACTGGCTATACAAACAAGGCCAGATGCCAGTTTTGAGGTTTTAAGGTTGTGTATAGTTGTGAAAAATCCAAAAGGTGGGTGATATTATTTAGGTGAACAGAACATTGAAAAAAATAAAATGGAGCACTGTGATTTGAAATTCTCCTTTGGGAGATGCTGGGAACATGAAACTTACTGTTTTTAGTGTAATACTTCTTATGCAAAAATCTCTGTGATGGGTTCCCAAGTGCAGAAGGATATATATTTTTTCTCTTTTGGGAGAGGGAGGTAAATGTTGTCCTTTAGCTGGGAATCCAGAAAGATCAGAAAAGTAGTAAAAGTACCTTAGTGGTAGAAACTCTCACTCCTGTTGAGGTGGTAGATATGACATTATTCTTACCGAAAATATTGGAAAAATTCTAAAAAGGGGTTCAGCAGCAATATCAACTGAGTGAAATGTTGATAATAAGTCAATAGATAACAAAAATTCCACAAAATGAATGAACAACAAATAAAAATAGAAGTCTGACTAGAAAACTATATGCTTGGACTCTATGAACAAAATTTATCCTCAGTCGTTTAACACTCATATTCTCTTATGAAAACAGTTTTCATGCATTTCCAAAATGTGGTTATCTGGAAGAGTTGTAATAAACACAACACGCAATAATCTTTAGGAGAACAGAAATAGAATTTTGACCCCCACAAGCCCAACTCTCTTTGAGAATTAAAAACTGAAAGAACTGCGGATGCTGTAAATCAGGAACAAAAACAAAGTTGCTGGAGAAGCTCAGCAGGTCTGACAGCATCTGTGAAGGAAAAAAACAGTTAACGTTTCGGGTCCGGTGACCTTTCCTCAGTTCATCAGTTCTTAGGAAGGGTCACCGGACCCGAAATGTTAACTCTGTTTTTTCCTTCACAGATGCTGCCAGACCTGCTGAGCTTTTCCAGCAACTTTGTTTTTGTTCTCTTGGAGAATTATGTTCCCCTCCCCACATCACATGTATTTCACAATTCGTACTATTTTCAAAAACAAATCTATCCATCTCTTAAACCGTCAGCTTCAACAATCTTTTCCTGGAAACATTTTTCAAAATTCTACTATCCTTAAAGTGAAAACGTTCTGCACAACTTCCCTTCTTACTTGCACCTTCCCACATTTAAATTTCTGAGCCCTGATATTGAAACGCATCAGTACTGAATAACTTGCCCACATTAATCATCAATATAATTTGAGACAATGGTTATAAAGAGAAAACATGGGAATTGCTAAAGCCTGAACAAAATTTTTCATCTCACCTTGGCACACAATCCAGGCCTCTCTGTCACATTTCTCTCCACTGGTCCTCAACTCAAAGAAATTATATTCGTCAAAGCTCAGTAGACCATTGCCATCTAAATCGATGATTTCAAAGATGTCTGACAGAGCAGCTCTATTAAAATGAAAAGACATTTCAGAATGGATACGGTGTATTATCAGAATACAGAACAGATACAAGTTACTGCCTTATACCTTTTAATTAAAAATGTCAGAAAAATGTACTATTAGATGATACTGTTAAAATAAAAGTTGCCGTTTTTGTCCAATGCCCATGGTTAAGAAACGAGGTACCATACAGATATGTTATCTATTTTCTGCAACAGTCCAAGAGAATTGAAGTGCTATGTCTGAAACAAGTTAAGAATACCGAACCTTATTACAGTATTGCACACTAATTTGCATGTTTATACACAAATACATATATTACTATATTTCTTTCCCACTTTTAAAAACTTTTATCATGCTGTTTGTTACCTCCTTGCGAATACAGTTTGTACATTTAAACTCTTGTCCTCATCCTGCTATCCTTTCGTCAATTCTGCATTCTTGCGCATGTCTTCATTTGTCCAACCAAGTGCTATAGATGGACTTGTCCAAAATAAGCATGATATGGAAGATTTTCTGCCACAAGATCAGATCAATTTAAATTTCTGCTTTTAAAATAAAACCCACCTGAATTCCTTAGTGAGTGCTAGGTTGCCATCTTCTCTGTGGACCAGTTTGGCTTCTCGCGTCTTTGATTTCCTCCTTTTTCTTAGTCTGCAGCCGGTGGTGAAAGGGAGAAGGTGATAAATTCCAGAACGAAGCTCTCCCTTCCAACCAAACTTCTGTTGTATCAAAGTTAACAGATGTTAAAACATTTTATTCATTTTTTTCTGAACCCCAGCTCCAAATTCATATACAAATTTGCATCAGACGATTTTCTGTTAAATGCGATATTTGTTTTCTTTCTGTTCCTATTCCAATAAAGTCTTTAAAATGCATAAAATACATAAAGTACAGTCAGATACACTTCACTATTTCAAGCTGATTAATCATTACCGAATATTGTAATGTTAAAAATGTCTCAGAAAACAAATGGCCAAGAAATGTTATTTGAACTCTTAAGCTTCACACAGGAAGGAAGTTAAATAAAATCTCTGCTTACTTTAAGCCCCGTCCAGATGCACTCAAAACAAAAATTACAGTCATTGCTATAACAAAATAAATCATGCCTGCAGCATGTATAAAGCACAGGAAAAATAGATAATTGGATTAAGTTTAAAAGACTATTAATATATTCCATATACTTTAGCGGATGTGTGATCCTAAATATAGTTATAAATCTTTTGTGGCATATTATTCTTGATCAAAAATAAGAATATAAATTTGATATTATGGCAAATTGAATGCAAGGTTTGTGAAATATGAGACAGACATATTGTGCCAGAAAATAATTGAATTACTTATTTGGGAAAGCATCACAAAGCCATCTAATACAATAGCAGACAATTAAAAAGAAATAAAATATTACAACTCCACAGCTGATTAATACTTGGAAAGGGAATAATAGATCACATTATTTGAAAGGGTATTGCATCAGTACACTGTCTCAAATAATGATTAACATGCAATGAATTTGAATATATTCTATTTTTATTTTAAATACCAGTGCAAAGCTGCTTTGCTCCCATGTATTTTGTAAACTTACAATTCTTTGAATCAGGATGTTAGAAATTTTCTGATCATTGATAAATGTTAGATACGCCAATGTTCTTTTATACTCTAATATTTCTTCCCCTTTCTAAAGATTGACTTAATTTACAACCCTACTAATTTTGCCAGTGTCGGTTTTTGATTAGTGTGCACAGAAATATTTCTAAAACATAATGATGATTTTCAACTGGTATGGCTTTCTTTCATTCATTCACAGGATGAGGGCGTCACTGGCTAGGCCAGCATTTAGTACCCATCCCTAATTGCCCAAAGGGCAGTTAAGAGTCAACCATATTGCTGTGGGTCTGGAGTCAAATGTAGGCTAGTTTCCTTCCCTAAAGGACATTAGTGAACCAGACGGGTTTTTCCATCAGCAATGGATTCATGGTCATCATTAGACCCTTAATTCCAGATTCCAGGTCACTTGAGCTAAGGGTCAACATTGCTCCCAACAGAGAAGTTTGACAGTTAAAAACAATGCATATATATTATACATAGTTAGCTAAAACTTTTAGTAAAGTTTAGTAACAAATGTGTAGAACATGTGTATAATTGCACAAAAATTAGTAGCAGGCTAGAAACACTGAAAATACATGCAACAATAGGCCATTCAGCCCTTCAAGTCTGCACCACCGTTCAGTATAATCGTGGCTAATCATGCAATTTCAGTATCCCATTCCTGCTTTCTCTCCATACCCCTTGATCCCTTCAGCAGCAAGGGCCATGCCCAGCTCCCTCTTGAATATATCTAATGAACTGGCCCCAATAGCTTTCTGTAGTACAGAATTTCACAGGTTCACAACTCTGAGTGAAGAATTCCTTCCTCATCTCAGTCCTAATGGCTTACCCTTTATTCTTTAGGCCCCTAGTTCTGGACTTCCCCAACTTCAGGAATGTTATTCTCTCATCTACCCTGTCCGGTCCCATCAAGATTTTATATATTTCTACAAGATCCCCCCTCATTCTTCTAAATTCCAGCAAATATAGTACAAAATTCCAGTTGATCCAGTCTTTCTAGAAGATTGAACAGAACATAAAAACCTGCAAAGAATGACTGTAAGATTAATAAGGAGGGAAAACTAGAATACAAGATAAAACTGGCTAGAAATATAAAACAAATGGTAAGAGTTTCTATGGATGTTTAAAAAAGATAAGTTAACAAAGTGAGCCTTGGGCTTATTGAAAATATGTTGGCAGAATTAATAATGGAAAATTAAGATATGACAGCTAAATTGACCTGGTATTTTGCATCAGTTTTCACAACAGATTATACAAGTAACTTTCTAGAAATTGCTGTAAATCAGGAAGTGGAAGGAATGGATGAACTCAAAAAAATTACAATCACTAGGGAAGTGATACTGTACAAATTGTAGAAGTTACAGGCTGACAAGTCCATGGGCGATTTGTCCTGATGGACTTCATTGGAGGGTCTTAAAAGAAGTGGGTAATGTGATAGTTGATGCATTCATATTAATTCTCCAAAATTCCCTATGTTCAGGGAAGGTTCCATTAATAGGAAAATAACAATTGTAATTCCTTCACTCAAAAGGAAAGGGAGACAGCAGCAAGCTACAGGCCATTTGACTGTCATATGAACGATGTAGCTATTATTAAAGACAGTATAGTACAGTACAAGTTCAAGGTGATCAGGCAGAGTCAGCATCATTTGTGAAGGGGAAATGATTTATTTAACCAATTTATTGGAGTTCCTTGAGGAAGTAACATGAAAGGGATCTGGTGAATGTACAGTACAGTACAGATTTCCAGAAAGCATATGATGCCACATAAAAGGTTATTGAGGAAACTAATAGCTCATGATTTGAGGATAACACATTGACATGAATAAAAGATTGGCAAGCTAATAAGAAACAGCATAGACATAAATGGGTCTTGGTTTAGTTGGCAAGATGCAATGAGCAGTGTATCACAAGGATCAATGCTGGGGCCTCAATATTTTTCAGTTTTTCTAAATGATTTGAATGAAGTAACCAAGGGATTGGTTGCTAAATTTGCTGATGACACAAAGATAGATGAGAAAGTAGATTGTAAAGGGGTCATAAAAAAGCTGCAGCAGGATACAGGTTGGTAAGTGAGTGGCAAAGATCTGGCAAATGGTGTATAAGATGGGAAAATGTGATGTTGTCCACTTTGTAAGAAGGATTTAAAAAAACATTGTCTAAATGGTGACAGAAAGCAGAGCTCTGAGATGCAAGGGGTTGGGTGTCCTAGTGCCTGAATCGCAAAAGGATAGTATACAGGTGCAACAAATAAGTAGGAAATAGAATGCTATTGTTTATTGGAAGAGGAATTAAATACAAAAAGTAGAGAGGTTATGCTTCTGTTATTAGCATTGATGAGACCATTACCTAATACTGTGTACAGTATTAAATTCATTATCTAAGGAAGAATGAAAATGCGTTGGAAGTGGTTCAGAGAAGGTTTACTAGACTAATAGCTAGAATGAGCAGCCTATCTTTCGAGAGACGTTTGGACACACAAGGAGTCTATCCACGGGAATTCAGAACAGCATGTGGAGACTTGATTGAAACACAAAAGCCCAATAGGTCTTGACAGGATGGACATGGAAAAAGTGTTTACTTTTTGCAGGATCTACAACTAGGGGCCACTCTTTAAATACAAGGGGTCACATATTTAAAATAAAGATGCAGGCAAATTATTTTGAAATAATTGACTTTGAAACTCTCTTCTTTGAAATGTGGTGGAAGCAGAGACTTTGCATATTTTTAAGAGGTAGAAGCAAATGGTTATAAAGTTATTGAGAGTGGGCAGGAATGTGGAGCAATCAGGTCAGCCACAATCCTATTGAATGGAGAGGAGGCCTCAAGTGAGCTACTCTTGCTCCTAATCTTTATGTTTGCATGTACTAAATAGTCAACGATCATAGGTTCAATTACAGCGTTGAGTGTCACATGACACAGCTGTATAATCCAACAAGCATACATTATGAAGATGCTGACTTTAATTTGTGGTTTGTGACAAAATGATCAAAATTATGCTAAACTTGTTAATTCCCTGGATTACAGGAGTAACATCAGCCAGGAAGTAAATTAAGAAGGCTAAGAATGCTATCTTTTATAATAAAAGGAACTGAACAGAAAAAAGAGAAATCAATCGCCTCAACCTCTCCACCCCTCTCACCCGCAGAACGTGCAGCCCTCCGCTCCAATCCCAACCTCACCATAAAACCCGCGGACAAGGGGGGCACAGTTGTAGTATGGCGCACTGACCTCTACATCGCCGAGGCCAGGCGCCAACTCTCCGACACCTCCTTCTACCTCCCCCTTGATCATGACCCCACCGCTGACCACCAAACCATTATCTCTCAAACCATCCACAACCTCACCACTTCAGGTGACCTCCCACCCACAGCCTCCAACCTCATCGTTCCCCAACCCCGCACCACCCGCTTCTATAAAAAAATGCCACAACGATGCTACCCGAAGGTTGCAGGAACAGCAACTCATATTCCGCTTGGGAACCCTGCAGCCCAATGGTATCAATGTGGACTTCACAAGCTTCAAAATCTCCCCTCCCCCTACCGCATCCCAAAACCAGTCCAGCTCGTCCCCGCCTCCCTAACCTGCCCTTCCTCCCACCTATCCCCTCCCCCATCTCCTACCTACTAACCTCATCCCGCCCCCTTGACCTGTCCGTCCTCCCTGGACTGACCTATCTCCTCCCTACCTCCCCACCTACACTCACCTTTACCGGCTCCATCCCCGCCTCTTTGACCTGTCTGTCTCCTCTCCACCTATCTTCTTCTCTATCCATCTTCTATCCGCCTCTCCCTCTCTCCCTATTTATTTCAGAATCCCCTTCCCCTCCCCCATTTCTGTAGAAGGGTCTAGGCCCGAAACGTCAGCCTTCCTGCTCCTCTGATGCTGCTTGGCCTGCTATGTTCATCCAGCTCTACACCTTGTTATCTCAGAAAAAGGAGAATGCTGTACTTCTGTTATACAGGCATTGGTGAAACTACATCTTGAAAACTGTGGGTAGTTCGGGTCACCTTATTTAGAGAAGGATGAAGTGCAATGTAAACAGTTCATAGAGGTTTCTTAGATTGATGTGAAGAATGAGCACTTTGTTTTATGAAGAAAATTGAGACGGACTGATCTTGTTTTCGCTAGAGTTTAGAACAGTGAGGGGTGACTTGATTGAAGCGTACAAGATCCTGAATGGTCTTGATCAATGTAGACTTGGAAAGGATGTTTCCTCCTGTGGGCGAGTCTAGAACAAGGCAGCATGGTTCTAAAGTTAGGGTCACGTTTTTAAAACAGAAGTGAGAAGAATTCTTTCTCTCAGAGGACCGTGTAAGCTTGGAATTCCTTGCCTCAAAAAGAGGGATCATTGAATATTTTTAAGACAAAGATAGATTCTTATTAGCAAGGGAATAAAAGGTTATCAGGATAGACGGAAATATAGAATTTGAAACACAAACACATCCACCCTGATCTTATTGAATGGGAGGGTGGGATGAGGTGCCAAATATTTCTGCTTCTAATTCAGAGGTATGTAGAATGTATCAAGCCCCACTGAATATGTGTCTAAGCACTCAAAGGGAGGAAAAAAACTGGGCTTGGCTTTTACAACATCAACCACACCAATCATAAAAGGACTTACTAATAGCCACAGCCGGTCCCAGGAGATGCAATGAAACTATGACTCAACAAGGAAAGAGTATTCATGGAAGAAGATGCAAAGAAGGTCCAGCTGAAGCACAGTTTCCTTTATGATTTTGATTTCACACGTTTTGAAAACCAAATCTGGAGTTATTTATCTCTCTACATGTCAATTAATTAGTCACAAGTGACTGGCCAGCAAGATCACATCTGGAATCTTTATTTCTGACTTTGCAATTCTTACCTCTTTTTCTCGTAATTCTGTGGCACATACGACTTCCAGAACTTCAGAATCACTATCGTTCCTCAAAACATATAACGAGGTATCTACATTCATCCAGGGAGATAGCTTTTCTGAGCATGTGAAACAAAATGTAATGTTACTGCAACCAGAATACCGTTATATATCCAACGAGAAAGGTATATTGTTGAAAAAAGTCTTCTTTTCCTTTCAGTGAAATTTTCTGTTGCAAGTGTGTCACATTACAACTGATAAAGATATATAGCGTTGTGGAGAAGTTGTTTAGAATTCAAATAATCCAGGATTACAGCATGTTGAATAAAACATTTAAAAATGAATAAGATGCTCAAAATGGTTGGGGAATCATTTAAACATACTTTACAGGGGAATTATGAGACAAAATTAGTCTGCTTCCATTTCACATCATAAATAGTCTGTCTGAAATTCTGCAGCCATATCAGGCTAAATTCATAAAAAAGAGATGAAACTACAGAATGCACATTTCTCATATTGTGAATGATTGAACTGAGTGATTGATGTGCTGCCATTATAAAGATTTGTGAGGTTGCGCCTGTCAAACAGAAGGGAACTTCCTTAGGATTAGTAAAATATGTATTAAAAACTCTACATTTTTAAAGGTAACAAAATGTATTGCTCTGCACTGCTTTAGGCTTTTAAATAATACATATACATTAATTTCATGCATTTTCCGTCTAGAACAGTAAAATGCAAAAAGGATAAAACATATAGTCAGTATAACATTGTGAAGGCACTGTAGCTGTGGTTACCAAATTTTTAAAATAGTTACAAGTTCATAATTGCGTTTCCTTTTCAGAGGCTATGCCATTCTGCCAGAAATTAACACTCTTCTTCACTTAAATAGCCATTCTCCATGCCCAGGACATGAACGTCTACAGCTGTTGAACTAGATGGGGCATCACAGCCCAGCCTGACTTGTAGCAAGAGGGAAGATATGTCCTGTACACAAGGTATAGAAAAATAATAAACACGTGGTTGAATGTATTTAGAATTTTGGTACCCCTGGCACATAGTGAACACATTTCTATCTTTATACATAGGTATACCTTCCTTTAAGAGTCATTGGATAATAATCAGAAGCATAAATCAACCTGGTATTTTCTATTCCAGACATCAGGATGATAAGCTAAAATAACTCAGCCATTACTAAGGCAGAAGAAAATGACCTGTGTGAAGTCTGAACGCTGATGTAGCATGTGAAGTTCATGAACTACATGAACTGAGCTGACTCTTCCCAATCCGATACTAGGCTCTTTAAAACGAAGCAAGAAGCAAAAAACAGAAGGTATTTCAGTGAGATAGGTAGGTGAGAAGTTAAAAAGAAAAACATAAAACTTTCATGATGTATCGAAAAATTCTTCTCTAAGTTTACATTTTGTTATCAAGTAGAGTTGTAACTGACACTGCAAAGACAGCACAAACAAAATCAGCCTTTATGTTGTTGGGTGATGTATAATCACAAGAGAATTAGATGTGGGGAATATCATACAATCTGTAGTGATTGGAACGAGGTTGGCCAGGTAGATTTCTTTGAGTATGAGTTCACTGATTGGGTTGTCTTGCTGACAGATATAAACAGGAGTCCCAAGGATTCTCCTCACTCTTGGGACAGGCTCGGAGGTAGCTGGTCAGAGTCCATGTATTGTACAAGTGTAAATAAAGCATGACTTGGTGACGGGACACTGGCCTCTTGTGGAGTTATTTCATAATCTGTCTTAATTCATCCACCCAGAGAAATCCTAACATCTCCTTTTGCAATATTCAATTATTACTTAAATGATTGGAGAAGTTTTGCCTCCAGTACCGTGTCTGTAAGTTTATTCACATACTATTCCATCACTCTTCAAGTAAAGAACAAATTCCTAATCAGTCCTAAAAATACCTGTTATTGTTTTGAACCAGCTTCCCACCTAGTGTACTCCCATAGTTTAAATCTTGGATTAACATAATAGATTAGATTTTCGCTAACGAGACAGGATGCTCAAGTTGGAACATTTCCAGAATCCATTTGCATTTCCATATAGGTCTCTGCAGGGACTTGTTTCACTTCAGGTGGGGGGGTGGGGAGGTGGAGGGGGCATGGCAGACGACTAGGTATGTGGCAATGCAGACAAGGAGGTGACATGGGGTCAGTGAGGTGTCATTAGATATATGGAGGGGACATGGATAAGAGCTTTTAAACATTTCTTTCAAACAGTTTCTGAATTCACTCTACAATTTGTGACTTCTGTGAGGTGCTTGAGAACTGGTCTATTTGAAAGAAAATTCTGCAGCAGGGCATAAGGTGCTTATCTCCACAAAGGAACCAGCCGGTTCAGGAGTGCAAATTGTAGGGTCTCCATATTTGATCTCTGAAAATTCCTGGGGGCAAAAACAGAGGCAGGAAACCCAAAATCAGGTCCCACTCACTATTTTTAAAAGGCTTCCAGAGTCAGCCTGACTCTGCAAAAATCCAGATCCACCAAGCCACAGTGATCTGTCTGCTTATAGTCTGTTTAGATCTTCCATCTCAGTTATAGTGAAAGCCTTGATTGTACCTAAGATGTCTTTGAAATACTCAGCAGCTCTGGCAGCATCTGTGAAGAGGGAAAGAGTTAATGTTTCACATTAATGATGAAAGGTTGTTGGCCTGAAACAGGGATTTTGCTTCTCTCCACAAATGTACCTTAGAATTTCCAGCATTTTTTGTTTTCATTTCAGATTTGAACACATTAACATGTTGATTAAGAATACTTGGTTCTCAGAAGGCATACTGTTCTATGATTCCAAAGTCCAAAGATATGCAAGTTAGGTGGATTGACCATAATAAATTGCCCATAGTGTTCAGGGATGTGTAGGTTAAGTGAGTTAGCCATGGGAAATGTAGGATTACAGGGAAACAGTAGGGGGCATGGGTTTGGATGGGGTGCTGTTCAGAGGGTTGGCGTGGACTTATTGGGCCGAATGGCCCGTTTCTGCACTGTATGGAATCAATGAATTCTGTATCTTCTTGAAGCAAATTGCTCTCTTTCCATGCTGACAAGGTGGCATATAACAAAATGTCTAGCATTAGCTTGGATTGTCTGCAGTATTAAAAATGTCTAACCATGCTGTTAAAAGTGTTGCAGAATAGTTGGCAGACTATACCTTCACTTTCGCTAAGGTTTAATGGTCTGATGGTAAGATAAACATTTGTTGTTTGATGTAATTCCAGTCTATACTGATGACTGACAATTCCACCATCTTCCTCCAGGTAAAAGCATCCCTTTGACCAAGTGTGTTGCCAGTTCTAGAAGGAAAACAACATAAAAATGGAACAAAGCTACTGGACTTGTTTATCAATTTATGCTCATTCATAAGCACAAACAGTCAACAAATTGTCATTTTACTTTTGGATATATTGAGGCACAAAAGGGAAACTTGGAATTGTTAGTCATTCGTAGGACCAATAATTCAGCACATTGAATAATCTTGCAAATTTCTATACTTAGCATGTGTATCAAGATCCTCTGTCCAAGTTCTGTAATTTTACAAAAAACACTGCCAAAGTGATGAAAATGCCAGCTTCCCAGGAAGTGTAGATTTTTTTTCAAATCTCACTGGTACAACAAATCAACTGCTCTAGCATTCAAAATTTATTCTCGACCTGTGGGTTATAAATTTACAGATACTTGACACAAAATGCAACAATGGGACACATAGTGACAAAATAATTTGATTTAAGACATTAACTATTTTGTGGAAATTGAGGTTTTTTTCTTCATTTTGGAAGTATATAGAGTGTGCAACATTCTGAAGAATGTGGGCATTGGTGAGAAAATTTGGACAATCATGTGAGATCAGCATTGGAGCATTTCCCAGCCAAGAGCCAAAAGTGATACTTTCCAACCAAGTTTTGAACGCTAAGACAAAATTCTTGCTAGTGAGCAGTGAGAAGCTGATTATCATGCATCGATATCCTACTATTACATCAACTTGCCTCACTGATATGCAGTTTCACATTTTTCCACTTGGCAGATAGAAAAAAGATGGTGACAATTCCAGACATTCAAGTTAGAGCTATAAAATGATGTCTCCAGATCTTTGCTTGCTCCTTTGGGCCTCTATCATTGATAACTGTAAGAAATAGGAACAGGAGTAGGCCATTCGGTCCCTCGAGTCTGCTCCATCATTCAACAAGATCATAATTGATCCGACATTCCTCATGTCCACTTTTCTTGCTTTTTCGCTGTAACCCTTAATTTCCCTACTGATCAAGAATCAATTTATCTAAGCCTTAAATATACCCAAGGACTCTTTTGGCAAGGAGTTCGAAAGACTCACAACCCTCTGAGTGAAGAAATTCCTCCTCATCCCAGTCTTAAATTGGCACCTCTTTAATTTGAGGCTATGTCCTCTCATTCTAGACTCGCCCACAAGGGAATCTTCCTCTCACATTTACCTTGTAAAGTTCCTTAAGAACCTATATGTTTCAATGAGATCACCTTTCATTCTTCTCAACTCCAGTTGGTACAGTCCCACATTGTTTTGCCTTTGCTCATAAAAACAATCCCTACATACCACGGATCATCCTAGAGAATCTTCTCTGAACTACCTCTTAACAAAATTATACCTTTACTTAAATAAGGGGACCAAAACCGTTCACTGTACTCTAGATGTGGTCACATCAGCATTTTCTACAGTAGCAGTAAGACTTCCCTATTCTTATATTCCAACCCCCTTGAAATAAGGACTAAGATTTCATTAGCCTTCCTGATTATCAACTATACCTATGTGCTCGCTTTCTGCATTTTATTACAGAAATACTTCCAAGTTCTTTGGTGTTGCTGCTTTCTGCAGGTTTTCTCTATTCAAACTTATCAAGGCATGTTCCATGGGCAGTGACCATGCACAACCTCCACACACCGCTCCTCCCCTATTCCACCAAGGTCTCCAGGTCCCCATCAGCAAAGCGAAGCACCAATAACCCTATATGTGACATGTTCAGGACAAATAAAGTGAACTATAGCTAGTATTCTGCCCTACAAGCAGGGTGCCGTAAGAGCATGGTGTATAGTTAATAAGGCATGTTTGAGAAGATAGCACAAAAACATCTACCAAGGCTTACAAGATAGAAATCAACCATGTAACTCACCAAACAAAAAACACTCAGCTGACTGGTGCTAAGATTGAGCCCGTAATGTTCTGTTTTGTTTCAGGTTTTATGCTATGCACTGAGGGTAATGGATCATCTCCTTGCCTCTACCCATAACACTTTGAAATTGCATATTCTGTTTGTCTGGCTTTCTCACAACAGTTTCTTGAGGCAGCATGACCGAGATAGGGAATTCAACATGAGGGGATAAAAACAGAATTGATTCTAAGTGTCTACAATCTGTGACACTGTATTGGAGATCTGATTCACTGATATTGAATTTGATAGACAATATGCTCTCTTTCAGACAATGCAATGGAGAAGAAACTGTTGACTGTGTCCTTTTATAATGTGTTTCTGTAAAGACGGTCAGGAAAGAAATTCAGTGGATTTTATATTGAGCAGCTCTGTAATGCAGGATTCGGATCTGAGGAAGGGTCACTGGACCCAAAACATTAACTCTGATTTTTCTTCACAGATGCTGCCGGACCTTCTGAGCTTTTCCAGCAACTTCTGTTTTTGTTCCAGACTAACCCCTGGGATGTGCACTAAGACAAACATCACCAGCTGCTAGAGGATTATCAGTTCGGAAAGAGATGCTGTTTGGTCTGCCCAAAATTTCTTAGTAGTCCAATGAAAAGAGCTGTCCATGTCCCAAATGTTGCAGAATGGCACATTCCAAAGTTCAGGAACAATGCTATGGGATGCACAAAAACCTGGGGCAGCCACTGAAAAGTCTAAATGAGGAAAGGCCACTGTCTAAGGCCCTACTGTCCGAGCACACAAGTGGCCAGGATTTATGTAAAATCCCTCAGGTTGTATTGTCTTAAATGAATTGTACGTTGTAAATGTAAGTTGTAAATGTGGTGAGGCACTGCAGATTATGACATACCGTAAATGAAAAAAATTGAAATATATACACTTTACATAATGTCAAATTTGAACTGTTTATTCATAAAATGTATAAAAATGCATAATTAAGTATATTTTTTGGGGAAAATAACACTGGTTTAAATCTGGTAGAGGCACAGTATTTAGAATTCAGCGTATATTTTTTAGCATTTCATATAATGGTGATATTTTACAACTTAAATCATCTCTTGACGTGAACAAAATACACTGGTTCAGCAAGATGTTTCACTGGTTTTGCAGCTAGAAGGTACAGGCATTGCAAGACTAACTTCAAAGAAAGATCCTAGACAATATGGTAATCTCATATTGTTTATGAGTAAGCAATTTATCTTCATAGTTATTGTGCACGCTATCAATCTACAACAAAGATTTACATTAAGCAAGTTAGAAAGAATCAATGAATGGCATAAAAGATTTTTTTTGCTATAAATATCTAATTGGTGCTCAGAAATATTTTTATAAATACCATAGTAATAATAATTAGAAACAATACTTCATTTGGGAGTGTATTTTTTCTTGTGATAATATTATCTTTTGGTTTATCCCAGTTTTGGTGTTTTATTATGTTATTTTGAAACATTTCCTTAGCTAGAGCAACAGCATGATGGACTGGGGTGGTAGTGGTGCATGAGGTAACCTGCTCTCGGAATGAAACCACATCTTACAAAAGGAACACAATTTAGATGGGCAATAACAATTTAACAGTGTTGTGATGTTTGTGATGTTGTAGGCATGTTCCCCGCCCGTGCCCCCCACCCCCACCCCCCTAACCATTTGAGGGTGTGCTTGGCCTTTGTCTGGTCCTTCCATGCAGCAATCTCACTGAAACAGGGATCATACCAGCACAGAAAGAAAATGGCCATATCAATCTCTTTTCTTAATCTTGTGCTTTTCTTTTGACATCAACATCAAATTACTTAACAGTAAGATTATGGCATAATCTCATGCCAACCTGGTCTGCTTCCTTTAGAATTGCTTTTATGAAAGTGCTGGGAAAGCTCAATGTGTTCCCACCCATCTGTTCATTTGGCCCTGCAGAGGTATTTTCAATAATCTGTTAATAGCTGCTCATAATGCAGATGCTGCCTTGCTAACACATTCAATGCACCAATGTAAGAGTGAAACCAATGAAGCACAATGTGGACACTGAGCAGTCTAACTGAAGTTGGCATGCAAAAGCTTTGCTTTATGAATTCTTTTGTTGCTTGTGAAATTAAATGACTGAAAAGATATTCTGCATTATTTGACAGCCATCTTTTAAAATGAAGTGTTTGTTTGATAGTAACATCAATCTATTTCCAGTTTTGAAGCCCAATACAACATGGTATGCATGACTCTTACAAATGCCCAGTTCAAATAGATATTGCGTTCTTGGAATAAAATAGATGCAGATAAAACATGGATAAGAAACTGGTTAAGTGATAGGAAACAGAATAGTGAATAATGGGCATTTTTCAGACTGGAGGAAGATTTGCAATGGAGTTTGTCAGGGATCAGTGCTGGGACCCTTGCTTTTCCCGATATATATTAGTGAGCAGATCATGGTGTACAGACCACAATTTCAAAATTTGCAAATAGTACAAGACTTGAGAAAGTTTTGACAAAGATAGTGCTCAACCTCAACTAGAGATAAACTAGTTGATGGAACAGGCAGACAAATTGAAGATAAATGTACGGCAGAGGAAAGTGAAGTGACTCATTTTGATACGAAGAATACAAAGACACTATAAAGTACGGATAAAATTCTAAAGTGGTGCAACAGCAGAGGGACTTGGATATACACGTGGATAAGTTATTAAAAATGGCAGGACAAGTTCAGGCAGCAATTCATAAAGCATGCAGTATCTTTGGCTATATTAGTAGAGGCTTGGAATACAACAGCAAGGAGATTATATTAAATTAGTATAAAACATAGATGTAGCTTCAACCGTAATACTGTGTGCAGTCCTGCAGGGCACACTTCAGGAAGGATGTGAAGGCATTTGAGATAGAGTGGAGAAAGGATTCAAGAGAATGAGTCTAGAGATGGGAACTTCAGATGCATTGATAGATTGAAGAAATCGGGACTATTTCTATTGAAGAAGGTTGACAGGAGATTTGATAGATCTGTTCAAAATCTTGAGGATCTATACAGAATAGGAGAAAGTAGGTAGAAAATTTCCCACTCATGGATGGATTCAGAAGAAGGGCACATATTTAAGGAAATAAGCAAAAGAAGTAATGGAAACTTGAGGAGAACTTTT